CAAGACAGTGGTGTTTACAGTTCAGCCAAAGATCCAGAGGACCCAGCCTACTGGGTGGCTGATGCCAGCCTACTCACAGAACTTCTAGAGACTTTTCCTTTATACACCTGGAGTTGCCTTTATTTCAAATAAGAGCTCTTAAGCACAGAGGAGATGATTTAGTCTGAAAGAGATTATACTTGGTCAAAACGGCCTGTGAGCATGTTGTCCATATCTTATTCTCATGCATGACAAGGATTTTTACTTGTGTACAAAAACAATTTCTTGCACCCTCTCAGCTGGTCCTTAATTTGTAGGATGCTTGCGAAGGCGTATTGTCACATAGAAGCTTACAAATGAAGGCCCCCAGAAAAACAAAACTGCTTCTTCATTTTCTGGCTAAAAATAGGGTCAAATAAGTAAAGTAATAAGTTTTAGGCTAGAAAACTGAAAAGGAAGTGGGGTACAGGTCTGGGAGGAAGGCAGGGAGTATTGATATACCTATCATGACCAAATTACCACTTGCTGTGTAGGTCTTAATTGTACCCATTCTATGTCCCCACATCCTCTGATTCCATAAATTCCAAGACAGCTCCAAAGGAATCCTATTGGTTTTGTTTGGAAAGCAGCCCTATGTTTCTCTGACTGCTCATTCTAAAGCAAGCCTATCAAATTTGGAAACTAAATATAAGCTGACAGAAATAAGCTACCAGCAAATTAAGCTAAATTAATAGAGTAGACTCCTGAAATACAAAGAAAATATTTTTTTCCAGGAATCTTTCTCTCTAGTTGCCAGGCTAGGTAAACTGAAGCAAGCCTCCGTCTCTGCAGCAAGCCCTTTCCTTTGCCTGGTGGTGCTTCCCAGGAGCCCTGCGTGGGACCCCCTTCCGGAACTACTGCTCCGCCTAGTGGCAGCCTTCAAGCCTTCATCTACCAATTTTATGGGTGTATTGTATGTATAATAATAGGAGTGAAATCCTCCCCTATCCCTGAAAGGACTTATGCCTTACTGAATTATAAGAGAAAGGGAAATAACATCCAAATGGGCCATATGTACAAAGAACACACCGTGGGCAGCTTTCTAATTACAAGAAGAAAGCATGACTAAACAATTAAGTCTTATGGTGGTCCCAAAGGAATTATAGGGTGGGGGGAAAAAGTGCTGGACCAAAAACAAGAAATTCTACTTCAAATCCTGACTCTGCCCCCAAATAACTATGTACCCTTGAGCTAGACAGTTCCATTTTATAAATATAAGTCACTTTTGTAAGTATACACAATAAGTGAGAAATTCAGGCTTTCTCCCACGTAGATTTTGTCTTAAGACAATATTTAAGACTGTTTTTATGAAAGTGAATACTACAGTGTCTCTATCTTTGTATACATTGTTTATGGAATAGTAGACTATGCAAATGTTAAATCTCATGATCTACACGTCACCCTTTCCATTGCCGCTACTCCTGTTCTAGTTCAAATCCTTAAAACTCTGTGCCCTCTGCGACAGATCACCTCCCTTACTTTCACCAGCCTTGTAGGAATTCTTTTCCAGGCTTCAGACATGGGCAGAAAGCATGGTGGCTTATTCAGTGCCTGGAGAAACCGGTGTAACTACAAAAACTAACCCCCACCTAAAAATAAATGGGCCAGGGTAGGAGAGGGTTACATCCTCTGCCTGAAATCAGACAGGTGCGGTAGTTGTATGCAAAAAAAAAAGAAAAAAAAAGATTCTAATATGGAGATCTAATAAGTTGCCTGGGGGAAACTGGCCAATATCATGTGTCCCTCTCACTCCTTCCTCACAATTTCCTCATCCTTCCTCCTCCCTCACAGTTAATTTGCCATTCAGAGTGTACAGCATTACCAAGAAAAGAGTTATCGGAAATACCAAAAGAGGATCTAGAAATTCATTATATACCCCAGTTTAACAATTCCCTCTGATGAGCATGAAAACGTACTTCAATTGGGTTTTAGAAGTTGGTAAACTGAAATAGAAGAAGGTGAAGAGATTTGCCAATGGCCATTACTTAAATCATAGTAGGACCAAAACAAAGTTCAGAAGGACTATCTTCTAGCCTCCTGCTGTGAGTGTCCAAGAACCCTTTTCTGCAGGGACAAGAGAGATGTTTCCAGTGTCAGGGAGCCAACTACCCTAATGGGTTTGGGAACTTAGCATATTTTAATTTCTACCTTTGCCATGTGGTAAAATTGAATAATGATCTACTGAGTTCCATCATTCTCAGTTCTATTGAAACTTGACTAAGCCTACTTTTATTATTATTTAGAATTTTTGTGAAAGCATAAACATTCCTGGGACATCATAAAGATTTAAATCATAAAGTTGATTTTTAATTTTCTAATCTAAAACAGCTTGAACACCTGAAGAGACTTAGCAATGATATTACATTATGTTGCGTCTTGTAAGATTCCTTCAGGAAACAGTCATACGAAGATCTGAAATATTGTATGGTTTGCCGAAGATAAGTAAAGTGTATAGTCATCTTTCTCTTAATAGCTTCTTTGAAATAAACTAACATGTAATTGTTTGAGAAAAAAGCACCTAATGTTTGATGGATGAGTGAATGAATGGGTAGATAAGCTATAACACAATCTCTCAGGGAATGAATGGGTGGATGAGCTATATCACAAGCTCTCAGAGGCTTCCTTTCATCCCTCACAATGTTTCAGCTCTAGTTCAATGCCACAAAACTTGAGTGTCTCCAATAATAGTGGTGATGGTCTGGAATAGCACTAAATCAAGCACAAATCATCCAGAAACTTCCCTTTAACTAAGGTATCTATTTCATTCCCCATTTTACTAGAGCTGCCCATATATAACTCAATTGATTGATGGAAGCCTTACTTCTACTTCCTGCCTTTCCTCTGACAGTAAAGGAGGTAAGAATAAGCAATGCAGTAGGCCCAAGGCTAAAAGCCGAGCTGAGGAGATCTCATTCACTGCCAGACTGTCACCCACCTCAGAATAATTGACAGCTGATTAGAAGTGGTGTTGAATTGCAAATATCATAGAGCCTGGAGAGACCCGGCAAGGGAAATAGTGAGGAAAGAATTGTATAGTGGGAGAGTGTTGCTGGAGCAGATCTGACTTCCAGGCTTAATCTTACCACAGAGTCTTATGGGTTCTCCCGACCTTTCTGTTTCCCCACCCTCTCACTTTCTTGAAAAACAACCCCTATTAACTGCTTATCTCCTAGGGATGGATGCTAGCATAATATTGGGTGAACAGTTTTTTTGAAGCTTTTGAAACTAGGGAGGTTAAAAAATCACAAAGCTAGAAATGACTGGCTTCAGGATCCCCAAAACTGGCTATTGAGCCATTTCTTTGCTGTCAAATGAACTGTCAACCTAAAGCACCTGCCAGGTCTAGGCACCGGATCTCTGAGCTTCTCCACTGTTCCCCCAACCCTTCTAGATTCCCTCCTCCACATACACATTCCAGTTATCAGCCAGCCTCACTAAGTCACCAAGACATCAGGTTCAAGTCATCGTTAGTCATTAATTAAGCTGGCATGATGTTACATGTACTTTCTAGAAATGACATAAATCTAGAAGAGAAAAAGCAGACTTGGATGGAGTGGGTTTGAAGCTCACTGTAGGCACTCACAGTTTGATTCTTTTAAGTCTTTTCAGATTAAAAAAAAAAAAGTCTAAAGTAGACTCTGATTATTCTGGAATTTTCTCTCCATGACCTTGAAGGGCAAGTTTTGACTTTTTCTACTGGGAACCTACTCTACAGAGAGTCCCCTGTAGCAGTGGGGAAAATAAAAGCAATAAATAAGACCTGAAGAGGATCATATGAACCCAGGAGTTCAAGACAGCCTGGGCAACTTGGCAAGACCCTATCTCTACACAAAATTTAAAAATTAGCTGGGAATGGTAGTGCATGCCTGTGGTCTCAGCTACACAGGAGGCAGAGGTGGGAGGACTGCTTGAACCCAGGAGTTCAAGACTGCAGTGAGCTGTGTTTGTGCCTCTGCACTCCTGGGTGACAGAGCAAGACCGTGTCTCACAAAAAAAAAAAAAAAAAAAAAAAAAAAAAAAAAACCTAGGTTTTGTGCCTTATAATATTTATAACTAAATAAAGACAATAGATGTATATATAACTACAGCGGGGCTGTGACACATAGAATTTCCTTCATTTATATGTGTAAGATCCTCTCATCAATATGCAATTCTTGGCTTTTTCTCTCCTACCTGCAAACCTGAACAGATGTCTGTCTGGTTGTTTGTTTTTTGTTTGTTTGTTTGTTTGTTTGTTTTGAGACAGAGTCATGCTCTGTGTCCCAAGCTAGAGTACAGTGGGGCAAGTTCAGCTCACTACAACTTCTGCCCCCCATGTTCAAGTGATTCTCTCACCTCAGCCTCCCAAGTAGCTGGGATTATAGGCATACACCCCCATGCCCAGATAATTTTTATTTTTTGTAGTTTTAGTAGAGACGGAGCTTTGCCATGTTGGCCAGGCTGGTCTTGTACTCTTGGCCTCAGGTAATTTGCCCGCCTCAGCCTCCCAAAGTGCTGGGATTACAGGCATGAGACACGGTGTCTGCCCAAGATATCTTTCTTCATCTCTGGAAGCCCTACGTTCTTTCAATCATCCAACCAAGCTCCACTTCTCTTTGTAACTTTGCTTTTTCCTTAATGAGCCTTCCCCAAATCTATCTGTGCCATTTGTTCTAGCATCCCCCCTCCCCCTAGACATCTGTGTGTGTTATATGTATTTGGTGCACATATGTTGTCTGGTCCAGCTGGTAGCATTTAGATCAAGTAATCCACAGGCTGCAAAAGCAATGAGAAACCTCCTTATTTGAGATCACTACCACAGTCACATTAATCAAAGAGGCAAGAGAGCCCAGGTTCTTGATTGTCCTTGTAGCTGGTTTGTCTCTGTTGTTAAAACAGGGCTCTGCATACATCCTGAGGTTCCTTCCTGCCTTACCAATATTGAATGCCAAAAAGGAGTCAACTGACTTGACCAGGTCTATATTTCTTTTCTGTTGCTCCAGGATTCTTCTACAGCCAGATGATTCCTTACAGATCTTGGCACCAGTGGAAGCAGATGTGGGTTTCTACACTTGCAATGCCACCAATGCCTTGGGATACGATTCTGTCTCCATTGCCGTCACATTAGCAGGTAACCCGAAAATCCCTGTTCTGTTCATTTCATAAACTTTTATTGAATGAGTGCCTACAGTGTGTCAAACGGGCCCAGAGATGCATAGATAAAGAAGGCTGAGATTCCATCTTCAGGGAGTCTGTAATCTATAATTACAATGGCAGTGTAGTATGAGATGGAATAAAGTGCTATAACTGATAACCAAAGAGTATGCAAGGACAGTACATTCCTGCCAGGAGGTCTTAGAGTTGCAGTGAGTGGAATTTTGATAAGAGACAGGGATATTTCATGCAGAAGGAATAATGTGAGCAAAGGTGATATATGCAAATAAGTAGCATGTTGGAACATGAATTGTGAATTATGATCATTGAAGACTCTTTTGGATCCTGTCATCTCCGTGTTCCACCTGTTGCAAGAAAGACTACAACCCTTAAGTAATTGGAATTCTGTGGTCATGGCTTGAAGCAGGAGTGTTCCCCAGAACTTCTCTCTGATTCTGCTTTATTTCAACCTCTTGCTCTAACGCACTGCCAACACTTCCCCTTTATCCATTGAGGTTAGACAATACATTCTGCACATGGTGACTTAAGAACATTGCAATTCAGAGTACAATGTCTCCCAAAGTTGTGGTCTTGTAGCAAAAGACATGTAGGGCTTTTATAAAACCTCTTTGCATAGGACAAACCCATGCCTTTGAAACTGAAAGAGAACTTAGATACCAGCCGGACCAGGGCCCTTGTTTCTCAGAGGCCAGGCAACCCGAGGTCACACAGCTGCTCGGCTAGTGGCAGGGGAAAAAGGGAACTGGAGTCGCCTAACTCCCAGCTAATTGTTCTCCCTGCTTTCCCCCTGATCTGAGAAAATAGGATCCTTCCTTTCTCAAATCTGGGCCATCCAGTCTTTGTGGCTGTGTCGCATGTGTTTGTATTTATTCTTTTCAATTGCTACTCTCATCAGATGATTCAGTAGATGCTAGAAAAGCCAACATCACCCCACACTGACTTCATCTGTCCCTGCCGGGATTATGTTGTCACACTGTACTCCAGTCACACATGCTACCCCCTTGCATATCTGTTTAGCAACAGTATGTATGCCCCCATGACTTCAGGCGGGTCTGGGAAGGGACCCTTAGCAGGCAGCTTTGCGGGGAAGATCAAAGTCAACAATGAAGAAGGCAAGTTAAGGAGCCCTGGGCCGGATTAAAGACTGATATTATTAATGCCCATTTTTTGTGAATAAAACATTTGCTTTTCTTCTAATGTATTCCAGTTGCAATCTTTATTCCCCTCTTTATACAGACTCCAGATGCTCAGCACCAATCTTGTTAAATCTCTTCTGCTATCCACCCTCCAACCTGCTTTAGCAAGGGCACCGCTGACATCTTTCCAGTTGCTCGCAGATAGTGGCTCTTGCAGGATTAATTCTCTTGTTTATATTAATCTAGATACAGTTCAGCTCTATCACAGACTAAATACCCTTTGTTCACCCGAGTTTAATACGACTAATAGAAACCTGTCTGGAATTAAGCAAGGCAATTGTAACATCAGGCTTGCCTTCAGCTCTTTGAAGAGGGGTTATTGGAGGCTGCCAACAAGTTCAAAGCTGGGGAAGAGAGACAGCGGCCAAAGAGGCACCAAGGAAGGGGAGGAGAGGGGCTGCCTGGTGAAGTACGACTACAGACACAACACCCAGGGCATAGGGAGCTGCATCCTTACACCTTAGCTGCCAGGGTTTGTTTAGGTCTGCTAGAAAATCTATCAAGCAGTCCCTCTAAAAATAAAGGCTCAAAATGTGCATTGCCTTATGACTGCATTTGCACCCTTACCTGAGCTTATCATCCACACCTGTGCCAATATCTGCACTCACAGTGTTAGGTGGTTCACCAGGTCCTGTTGTGAGCACACCCTCTGCCACATATTGTGGAACCTACAGCAACAAATAAAACCTGCATTTCGTGCTCCCTGATGCTTACAGAGAAGTGAAGGCAAGCGATGGATAACTGGCTATCTAGAATTGGGAGATAATAACAATTTACTTCAAATGTATGCATGGAGATCCTGCTTAGTAGTTATAAGGTATAATCTGAACATAACTTAAATTGGAGGGGTGGGGGTGAATGAGTATCAGGCATTTCTAAGTTTGATTACCAGTTATACTGCTTATTAGCTATGTGATCTTGGACAAAGTATATAACCTCATTGAGTCTCTGTTCTCATCTGTAAAAATTAAACTAACATTATTTTACAGGGTTGTTGTGAGGTTAAGTAAGATTGCATGTGTGAAAAAGCACTTAACCCAATGCCAGGCACATCGTTCACACGCAATAAATGTAAACCTCCTTTCTTTTTCTAGCTCTTCTAGAATGAAACAACCTGAAAACAGTTCTAAGATGTGCAAACCATTATCCCAACTCTGCTTCCATGTATCTTTCAGTATGAGTCTTCACTGATATTTTTCAAGTATGAACTTAGAAACTGATTCAGTTCACTTGCTGTCACATCCTCATGGTGAATCTCTGCACTACTGTGTTGTTATGGAAACTGCAGGGGGGTTTTCCTGGACTTCGGTATAAATGTAGGCCAAAGCGGGAAAAAAAAAGACTTTGAGCCTCAAGATAATCACGTGTCCCCATGATTTTATAAGGAAAGTATGGACTTGTGTCTTGCCAGTGTGTCTGCATTGACCAGATGCAGGGAAATTTGTTCATGATTCACAAAAGCAGGTATAGCATGGCAGTTAAAATCACGGGCTCCGGAGCCTTGGGGTCTAGGTCTGTGTCCTGGCTCTGTCACTTCCTAAGTGTAACCTTGTGCAACGTCTTTATACTTACTGACTCAATTTCTTCATCTGGAAAATGACAGTACCTAATAACAGTACCTGACTCAGTTCTCATGGAGATTAAATGCAATCATTCATAAAAAATGTTTGTAATTGTGGCTGGCACATAGCAGCCACGCAATATTTGTTAGCTATTATTATTATTGAGAGAATAATACATACAACAAAGGCCAACTTATGTTTTCAGTGGGAGAGACTCCTTTTCAGGGACCAGAATGCTCACAAATCCTTTGTATAGCAGCTCTCTCAATGTCTCAGTGTCAACTAGGGAAGCTAGGATAGCCATCTGGAAAGTACTTGGGGCACCTGGATTCAGAGCAAGGGAGGTGACTTGTGATGAATATTTCACACGGGCCACAGAGAGAGAGGCCTGGCGGGCTCTCCCCGGCCCACAGCAAGATGCCTGACATTAAGTTTGCCCCATCCCCTGGATCCAGTGTCTTGCCAATTCTGCCTCTCAGATTCATTTCAGTCCTATTTCTTATTCTGTACACAAGTTTTCTTTGAACATGTAAACACCATTTAGTTTTAGACATAGAATACAGCCAAACCTTCCTTGCTCTGCCATGTCTGGCCTGTAAAATACTGTCTTGTGCCTTTTGCTCCTCTCTCAAATCTTCCATTATGTGTTGATTTTATCTTTAAGTCTCAGGGATTTGGGAGTACCTTGCAAGCGTCTCTCAGCATGGAGATGGCCAGTGTTTCCCTCCCTACCTCCCTGGAACAGCCCAGGGAACTCACAGCCATTTAGACCGAATGGCACAAAATTCCTCTTTCTGAATGCACTTAACTGGATGCCTGTTTCACTGCTCCGGGTGTAGATGAAAGTAGCTTAGGAGGGGAGGATTGCAGGGAGGGGATGATAGGAATGTCACCAAAATGTCACACACCTAACACTCTGAAGTGTGAATTTGTGTTCAGGAATAAACAGGGCTGGGTAAAGGAGAGTCTCTGATGTGTACAGACATAAACACAGGAGAATCATCTTGGCCTGTTAAATTCAGCACTCAGCCATCTTGCTCAGAAATCTTCCAAATCTGAATGGCCTAGGCAAGGTTTTGAAGGAAAGGAAGTAGTTTCCTGGTAAATTGCTTCAGTCTGGATCCGTGGAGTTTAGCTGTACTTACCAATGCAGATAAGGGCCTCTCCAGGTATAGACCATTGGTGAGGTCATCGACAAGAGGGAAACGTTTTTGGTTGTTATTGATTTTATAAGATCACAAAAGAGATACTGTAAGGCCTGCCTGACATCATCAATGGGAAATGAGAATAAAATGAGGGCTGAGGGATGAGTGTATTTTTCATTGAAAGGAGAGAACACAGATGAGCTCATCTGACGTTTTCACAGGAAGGGAGAGACAGAAAATATTTCTCCTTTCCTGGCATGTTTTTTTGCTCTTTATGAGTTGAATAGCTGATACACATTGTGTCTAATAAAGAGATCACAGAAACCTCACTGGGAAAATAAAAATAAAAGGCAGTTTTTTGAAATTCTTCTTCCTCTGTCCCTCCCCGTCATGATTTAGTAGTTACAATAAAAGACGAGCAATTGTGTAAGCTTATCATAATGTAAGTCACTTCAAATTGGCATTTCTGAATTTTTCACCCAGCAGCTCTGTTAACAAAGGAGGGTTTTGCTTCATAAAGAGTTAGACTCACAGAGGACCTTGTCACCAATGCAAAGGCTAACAAAGGAAGATTTACTCCCATGCACTAGATCAAAAGGAAAGGTGGTCCAGGTGCAGTGACTCATGCCTGTAAACCCAGCACTTTGGGAGGCTGAGGCGAGCAGATCACCTGAAGTCAGGAGTTTGAGACCAGCCTGGCCAACATGGCGAAACCCCATCTCTACTAAAAATATAAATATTAGCCGGGCATGGTGGCAGGCACCTGTAATCCCAGCTACTCGGAAGGCTGAGGCAGGAGAATCGCTTGAACCCAGAAGACAGAGGTTGCAGTGAGCCAAGACCATGCCACTGCACTCCAGCCTGGGCAACAAGAGGAAAACTCCATCTCAAAAAAAAAAAAAAAAAAAGGAAAGGTGGACAGGTTTGACTGTGTTCTCTGGGCCACATGGTAATAGCCATTGACTGATCTAAGCTGACATCAAGGAGATTTCAAAATCTGTTAGAATACTGAATAGCTAAGGCCCTTAAGTTTTTCTCAGTAAGTACAAATGT